CTGGGCACAGAGGGGGGGGCAGCAGGCCAGCAAGGAGGGGGAGGAGGAGGTGGGAAATGAGGAGTGAGGCCCAGAAGCGCTTAAAGACCTTGACGTTGCATCCTCGATCTTCCAGGGGGAGGATCGAGGAGGAGTCGGAGTCGGAGTTGGAGGAGGACGGAGAGAATGAGAACAGGAAGGAACGGGGAATGGGAGTGAGAAGTGGCAAGTGCGAAGGAGAAGCGCGCAGGTGGGGGAAAAAAGGTACCGACAGCGCTAGTCCCCCTACCTCTCCAGGGATGCGGTGTGACTTGAATTTCGCGGCGAACACAGCCTGTTTCACGAGGAATGGGTAGCGGTATCGGTATCAGTTCCTCCCCTGAGGGGGAGGAGGAGGCGGAGGAGGAGGAGGAGGAGGACGAGGAGGAGGACGAGGAGGAGGAGGAGGAGGAGGGGGAGGAGGAGGAAGAGGAGGAGGAGGAGAAGAGGAGGAGGAGGAGGAGGTCGGAGGAAGGAGGAGGAGGAGGAGGAGGAGGAGGAGGAGGAGGAGGAGGAAGACAAGCTCGGTGCGCTCGCGTCATATCTGACATCCTACCCTTCCCTCCCATCCCTTACCATGGCGCAGATCCCCTCTCTACTCGCACAGTCGGATGTCGAGCAGAGCAATGATCCCGAAAGGGTACGCAATTCATTGTAGAGCACAGAAGAGCACCGCGAACCGTAGTATCAACCTATCATTGCTTTGCATGCCGTGGCATGGCACGGGAAATGACGCCAGCGCTGCAGCGGGAGCACGAATCGAAACGAGCGGAAGCGCGGAAATAAGGCCAGCGCTGCAGCGGGAGCACGATTCGGAACGAGCGGAAGCACGCCAGAATCGGCCAGGGAGGCTCAGGGCGCCAGAAACAGAAATTCAGCATTTTCAAAAGAAAAATGTGTATTGGAATGGCCTTTTTTCGGCGCCGCCTCGGAACTCGATTTTCTGGCGCCGGCCGGAACCGGCTCGGGACCCGGCCCGGGCGCCGGCCCGGGCGCCGGCTCGGGCGTCCGGCCCGGGCGCGGGCTCGGGCGCCGGCCCGGGCGTCGGAATCGGCCCGGGAGTCCTCCCGGGCGCCGGAAGCAGAAATTCAGCATTTTCAAAAGAAACATGTGTATTAGAATGGCCTTTTTTCGGCGCCGCCTCGGAACTCGACTTTTCAGCGGCGGCCGGAACCGGCTCCGGGCCCGGCCGGAGCGCCGGCCTGGGCGCCGGCTCGGGCGTGCAGCCCGGGCGCCGGCGGAAATGACGCCAGCGCTGCAGCGGGAGCACGATTCGGAACGAGCGGGGCCCGAAAATGAGGCCGGCGCGGAGGAGGAGGAGGAGGAGGAGGAGGAGGAGGAGGAGGAGGAGGAGGAGGAGGAGGAGGAGGAGGACGAGGAGAAGGAGGAGGAGGGGGGACGAGGAGGAGGAGGAGGAGGAGGAGGAGCATGGCCGATCCGAGAGCGTCAGGGTTTTCTGGTTGACCCCGAACCGTGGCAAAGAGAAGCGATGACGCAGTGGCACGTGATGACCCAAAGAAATGCCCGAGCTGTGGGCAGGAGTTTCTTGTTGACCCCGAACCTTGAATCTGAGAGAGACGTGCCACAGGCATGTCGAGATGACGGGAGGGTAGAGGCAGCATCAACAGGTCGATTGACCTTGGCGGGATAGGCGCCAGCCTGATGTCGATGGCAAGACGAGAAGAAACAAGTCTTTTCCACATGCACATGCACAAAGTGTACTATAACCTGGACGCGTCCTGCGAACCAAACGGCGGCGGCAGGCGCTGCTTCCTCACTCACTGCATGCCGTACCTGATGTTATCTCCTGCATTTCGACTCTGGTAATATCTCCTAGTTGTCGCTGAGACTAGACAACTGTGTCCTGGAATTTGAATACCAACACTGAAACAGATGATATCACTCTCTCAACTGTCCCAGTCTTCTTGAACCATCTTCTTGATTCTTAATCATGATGCCAGCAAGAATACACAGATCACAAAGAAACACCACGATATCGCCACGTGTGTAATTGTTCTCTCACAATAATATTCCATCGACCCTTGTTGAATGCTTCTAATAACGTGGATATGCTTATACCTCCTTTTGTCAGAGCATCACACAGCATGTCCCTTGTGTCCACACGATGTAGTACAGATAGTCGTCGTGCTTCCAGATGCTCTCTCAAGGCCTGAATACCATACAACAACTGCCTATCTGTAGGTGTCGATATTTCTTGCGCTGTCACCGCATCGCACACTGAATGTGCGTCCAGGACTAGATGTAATTCTACATTGCAAGGACCAACCATTCTTGAATGCACCTCAACCGATGTTTGAGCGCCCTCCAACCATTCTATCAGGAACACATTCAGCAACATGCCATACTCTGTAGACTCGATCGCATTATTGAGCTCAGCGCTGAACGTGCCCCGGTTGACTTTCACCTGCTTGCGCGAGAAATACTCCCAAACATGCAATCCTCCAGAGGGTGCTCCATCTCTTAATTCACATAACCCGATGCTAGCTGCTCGCAGGGCTAGACAGTCAACATCGTCAGCCCGATACGCACTGTCCGCAATTACCGTGAGACATAACGGCGCTGTCATCTTGCCAAAGTGAATCGTGGCCGTCGCACGCTTAATCCATTTCAGCAGCTTGTTCAGGTCTTTCACGTTGGATACCGTCACATTCTTCATACAGCGTTGTAGCTCTTGCCCACAAACACTATGATATCTGCTCTCGTGAGAACCATCCAAGCTACGCCGCCTAGCAATGACATATATAAGCTTACCAACTCGTCATCTGCTTTGTCATCATCCTTCATGTCCTTGAACTTTTCCATGGGAATGGCCTTCAACTGACTGACGTAATGACTTTGGTCCATAGTGCATTCCATAGTTTTCGGATCCTGAGTGTGTTTGATGCCCACGCATTCGAAGGGAGTCTCAATCAGTTCACCTTTTCCATACTTGATCTCCAATCGCTGAATAACTCCAATCTGGTATTTTCTTCACAGGCTCCTTTGAAGTCGTCCACGTGTGTCGCCAAAATTCCAAGTGGTATTTTATCCTTAACCGTATACTTCTTACCAGTGATGGGACAGCAACTGTCTCGCTCTGCAGCCTGTCTATGTTTCACGTGCAGTTTCTTATCTGCTCGCAGCGGTGTCCATTGCGCTTCAGTCATTGTCTCCGTCAATGCCATACTCCATGACCATGGCGCATCTTTCGTGCCAAAACCGGGCTTGTTCATATCCAATACCTCTGATATTTCACTAAAATCATGAAAACCATCAATCTGACGAAGTAATACATTCGCTCCAGCCGGCAAGTCGCATTGAATGGATCTCAGCTTGGTCCCCGTGTCATTCGCGATCTGCTTGAACGTCTTCCCGCGCAGGAAGGCCATAGATATGTCCGTGGACCAAAGCTTCCATCCATAGAGCGCGGCCATTGAGCACACAGCTCGTTGTCCCCATCTTGATGCCGTACCTGCGAAAGTGGTCAGAGACTCTGTTTGTCTGTCTTTAAACCCACGCACCGTGAGTCTTGCCTTGATCTTTCGTACACCGCCAATGAGCTTCCATTTGAGAACCCATCGGCTGTCCACCAGATTCGTCGCACGTCGTCGTGGCATCCTTGAGAACATGCCCATGCTGCACCACCGTCGCAACTCCAGCACACATGCTTCAGCAACATCCCGTGCATACTTCTTGAGCTCGTCCTTCGTAAGGATATTCATCTCTCGTTCGATGACTGCCTCAACGTAACATCCAACTGCATCATATCGGTGAACAACAACATATCCTTCAATAACTTCATCGCCACAACATTGAAACGCGGCATCCGCACTCATAGCCAGCTCCAACGCTTCTCCAGGAATCGCATCCTCGTTGACGCTGGTCGTCTCGAACATGTTGTCAGAAGAGATAATGTCTGGCCCTCGCGTAAGTTCACTCAATCCATGTCAGAAATCATTCTCGCTCTCAATTTCTTCACATTGTCATTCCGGTGTTTCGTCATCCAGTTTCTGAGATACATGGGGTCCAGGATTGCCGCTTCCATCTGATCGTGGTGATAGCTGTCTTTTCAAGGTGGGTGCCTCATCGTCGAGACGTCGAGCAAGATGAGGTGCTGGGTTACCACTGTCATCTGAATCAATTGATCGTGATCTCTTGATTCCATTCCATCTGTGGTTGATGTATCCCTCGTTGTGATCGAAAGTGTCATCCATACCTCCAACGTGTGATACTCCAGGGGTTTGTCGTCGTGCTTGTCTGGCTTCTTCATCCGTGACCAACGCAAACTGCATAAATGGTGTTTTGGGCCAACTATCGCCGAATAAATACTGTGTCGAAACTCGTTGGCTGCCTGGAATCTGAATCCATGACCAGTCTTCTCTGCGCCCAACATGCCACCACATGATCACTGCACCGTCGGTGCCGGGCACAGCCTCAATGTATTTGACGCCATGCCCCACTCGAATGCCGATGCAGCCCACAAGCTGAAGATGACGCGCGGCCGTCGTGAACGCTGCTCGCATTGGTCCTGGAAACCGTTGGCCATCCTTACTGATCATCCAGCCATGCTTGCTAGAAAACACACATCCGAAGTACAAGGATCCTTGCTCGATGCTCTCTGCGAAATTCATGATATACTCGACAGGTGTCCTGGTTGACTCCTGCGCGCGCGGTTCCGTCATGAACGTCCATAGCACCACAGCTCTCCGCACCTCGGGTAACCGTATTTGCATGTTGCGACTCTGCCAACGGACTCCGACCACCCCATCTCGCAGTCGAGTAATGTCGGTCACTACCGCAGGTCCTCGCCAGCCACTGAGATCCTTGTTGGGAGGATCTCGATATATGTCGACCTCGTCGCCGATCTTGAATTCCAACAACTCTCCAGCTGGCCGGGTTCTCGAGTTCATCGCTCGACTTAGACGATCCGTGGCCGTGCCCTGAATGATGGCTGGCATCGCAACTTCACGTAATCGATGCAC